GCTGTGAAAAAACAACAACAAAAAACATAACTTTTTATTGTGAAATTAAACCCCCAATTATGAAGACACTATGTATAGAAGAGAGAAAACCCATCTAAGGAATACAAGAACCAGCAACTAGGGAGAAAATGGAATATGATGCTACTGGTTGCTAAGGTTGGTCCCACATTAGATTGGAGAACTAAAGATGATAAAATATCAAATTCATTTATTGTACCATCAACAAAAAAAAAAAGAATAAAGGTATAAAATGCCAAATCAGTCAGGATAAATCTAAGCTTCTTTGATCGGATCAAAGTCGAAACTTAAAGATGGATTCGTTTTTATCAGTTCAATTTTAATCAATCATTCTCCCTTTTCTCAGGTCTCAGGTGCAGATTTTGTCTTGCTTGATTTTTTTATTCATCTGGTGCATTAATGTTATTGGCCTGTGCAGGCATGCTGGCTCTGTGACGCTAATAATGATTGCACATAAAATATGTTTTGTTTCTTTTATTAAAACCAAAACTATCTTATGTAATGATCCAAAAATGTTGATCTGGCTGCCAATGAAATGGGTGCTGTTTAGCGTTCAAATAAAACTTCCTGAATAGCATTGAAGTGAAAGCCCACCATGCTAGTATAAATATTTTGGGGATAACAAATGACTGGGGAGTTTTCTATATTTTGATATGAAAATCATTATTTGAAAAACAAAGCTTTTAAGTCGGTGCCGTTTGTTGAAGTTTGTTCAAATTTCTACTCAGGTATTTCCTTATTCTTCCCATAAGTGCATGAAATTACTCTGATAAATTCCTCTAATTAATGGATTTATCAAAGAATACATGGATTCATTATTTGCTATAAATTGTGTTTTTATGAAGTTGGATGATTAAACTCAAAAGTTCTTAAAAAGTGACAAATTTGAAAGTTTGTTGAAGTTTTCAGATTTTTTTTCCTATTTTATTATAACTGCCTCCTTCTTTAGAACCCATTGTTTTGGGTGGAGCTTTAGATTTTAAAGTTAGTTGTTTAAAAAGTCATAAGAAACAAAGTGATTGATGAATCTCAGTCACTTGATTCAGTCTTCTTGAACCACACACAGCCTTTTCAATCTGTAATCATGAGCTTTTCTTTTGCCTGGTGCACCGCAGGCAACATTTCCTGCCTCTCCGGGCAGCTTGATGTGCTGCAGAACGGGTCACACACAAAAACAAGAACGCAGATGCAAATTCAGACTAGACCACCACTAATCAACAAGCGCTTTAGTCTTCCCTCTCCCGCTGCCCATCGCTCCGTCCTGCTGAGAACAAACACAAAGCTGGGAGGAGTGGACAACCGCTAATTAAATTTCCTTCTCTTTTCCTCCCTGTCTACTTCCATGTTGTTTTGTTACCGGTTTTGGTCTCTGGTCTTTTGTGAATTGCAGGAAAAACAAACAAGGTTTCCGGCAAGGCCCAGGAACACCACTCTTTTAGCGTCTTATTTTTTTCTCCAGCTCGTGGAATTTGTTTGGATAAAAGTTTCATAAGCTTATAAACCATCAACAGACAAGCAGCTTTTTCCCCTTTTCATTTGCATTTTTTTTTTTTTTTTTGGAGGACATCGTTTGTAATTGATTGAATCCTCCTTTTCAGCTATGTGCCGTCACCCACTCCTTTGTATAAATTCTCAGAACACTTAATGTCCCTTTGAAGAGTCTTAGCTGAGTTTAAGTTTAAGGATTATAATTAAGAGCTTTACACTTCTGAACTTGGAATAATATTCAGGCTGGGAATTTTCTAATACAAGAAACTATTCTAATTATATTTTTCAAAAAGCTTGTGTCAGATAAAGGAGGTATATAACGAAAACAGAAGCAGTCAAGGGACAAAGCAGCTGCCTATTGTGGTTGCTGGTTGAAACATCGGCCAATTAAAACAAAGATTGTTTTTGTTTTAGAATTGAAATTCTACTAATAATGGCGAGAAAGTGAAATGTAAAAAAAGTTCACCGTAAAAAGAGCTTTAGAAGAAAATTATATTTTATGCAAAAAAGGTTTTTCTGAGAAAATATATTAATGTGTATTCCACTGGCTTCAATACAATCAGGTTTCAATGGCAACTGTGCTTATAAATCTGAATTTACTACAAAGCAACTCATGAGTGGGGGGGGGTTGTGGATCATCAAAATAAGTGGTCCTCCTAATTGTCAATCATCCTGGTGATATGTTTACATAAGGTGAGTCTGACATGGTGGATAAATTGAAAATCTTCTTGTGGAAAGTAAGCCTGTATGAGTGATGCAAACAGCAACATTCAAACAGAGCGTGCATGAGGAGAAATGGGCCTTTGCACGCTCTCACACGTGTTTGCTGAACTAATGCAGATGCTGCTTAAAATAAGGATTTGTCTCAGCACTAAATGTTATTCTTAAAGGCAAGCAGAATAAAAGCAACGCCTTCAGAAAGAAGTAAATCAGAAGTTGGTTAAATGTTACTTTGCTGTAAAGATCAGCATTGATCTTTTATATTTCTCTTTTCCCTTGATGCCAGACTGTGAAATCTGTGCTCAGATTGTATGGTGTATGTTTAGTAAAGATGAGTCATCTCCATAAACTGCCACTTTTTTCTTGTTCCTAATTCTTCTGAAGTCAGACAGTTTTCACTAATCTCTGTCTGCCTTGAAGCTCCTATAGGAGGCCGTGTCCCTGCTTGCTGGAAAAAGAAGCTGCTGCTGCTGGTTTCCCTCCCTCTCTCTCTCTCTTTCTCTCTTCAAATGCCCGTCCAGCTGCTGCTGGTGCAGCAGGGGTGGTGCTCCTGCCTGCTGTCGTCTTTCCCTGGGCAAACAGCAGAGCAGGTCAGGACTCAGCCCTGTAACACCCCCGACTTTGCCTCATTTTACACTCTGCCTTTTGATTCCCAACAACACAAACCACCCAGAAGAGTTCCAGTGATTGAAATTGACCAAACCTTTAACTGTTTAAAAAACAAGAAACAAAGCACAGCTAGAAGCCGCCTGGTTGAGGCAGAACATCAGGGCCAGATTTCTTCTCAATGAACCACAAAGCAGAACTAGAATGGATAGAATGACCCAAACTACTGGCTAAAATACAACACAAAACACAAAATGTTTAATAGCTGTAGAAGATCCCAATACCCTATGCTTGTTAACCCTTTTGATCCCAACTTTTGGATATGCTGCAGCTAGTTTAGAGGAAGCTACAACAAATGTATCCTTATTTACGAACCAAATTTGATTAATTTTAGCAATCTTAAATTAGCCATATTAAAAAAAGATGAACTCTTTCATAGCCATCCAAGCATCAGTCAAACGTGAGCAAATAAAGCAATGTTGCAGTTGTTTTCTGCTGTCATGCAGATTTTAAGTCATAATCTACCATTATTCATATTGACAGTAAAAAAAGTAAAGTAAAGGATGGAAATAACTTTCCTTAGGATGTAAAGCCAACAAGTCTTTGTAAATGAAATCTCCTTACCAGGTGCAACAAAACCAACTGAAGAGTCCAATGTAGGAAATCCACATGGTTCTAGAATATCTGCTCTAAATCTGATATTATGCTGTCAAAACTTTCATTGGATTTGCTAAAAATCATTCTCATAATATGGAGGTCAACGGTTTGTCATTTATTAAACCATTGTGCTTATTTGCAAGTTGGCAGAAGCAAAAACTATTTATTTTTTTAATCATATTTTTATTGTTGTTAAAACAGATGTACAATGCTATTCAAATTGTAGTGTTTTACAATTGTTTTGACCATGTACAGTATAACAAGAATCAAACAGCATTTCAACATTTTTATATTTTTATAAACCCCATTCAACCCCAGAAGCCCCTGATAAGCAAAAACTATTGATAAATGCAGCAAAATAACCTATTTTTGCATGTACAGTAGAGGTAATGAAGGCGACATGCTAAAGTTAAAAAACAGCAAATGCACTCATTTGAGTATTTCAGAAACTAATAAACCAGCTGATCTCACACGACTGGATCTGAAACTGGAAAAACAAGAGGAAATATTGGTAGAGTTGTAGTTGTGTGGCAAAAAAATGCCTTATTTACATTCAAGCTGAGAGGAGACTGGTTTAAAATGAGAAAACAGCAACAGACAGCAGCTCAGATAAACACTGACAACCAAGGTCTGCAGAAAACCCTTTCTGAACCTTCAAGCAGATGGGGTACAGCAGCAGGTTTGACCTCCGCCAGCCAAGAACACTAGATAGAGGGACGCTATAATCATGCAGGTTCCGATCTGTTGTCCGAAGTGAACGAGGAAGGTTTTAGAAATGCTGTGTGGGTGGAGGAGTCTTCATCATAGCAGCAACATTTAGATTTAGGTGTAAACACCTTAAAAGCATTGATCCACCCTGTTATGAGTCAACACCATCAATGAAGGCATTGTATCCCTTCGCATGGCTAAACACTTAGCGTGACAGTGTACCAGGTGAGAAAGCCAAAATCATCTCTAAGTAGTTTCTTGAGCCTGATGTTGAGGTCACTTTGCTCCATGGCTTCCTCAATAGTGATGTAACGATATCAAAATCTCACGGTACGATACAATTTCGATATTGACCTCACGGTATGATATTTATTGCGATATTGTGGAAAGGCCCACGGTACTGTTAAATAGCTCACGATAGTGTTTGTGATGATAATAGCAAAAAAATACAGACATTTTTTCTGCCTTTGCCAGTCAACAGGAAATGTATTAATGTATTTATGGATCATTGCAACATAAAACGCTGATCACATAGTGCTTTTAAAGTGCAAGTTGTAGTCAGGAACATCAATATTCTGTTGGTTCTTCTGTGCAATGTTCAAGTTGAGAAGCAACCAGAACAATTGTAAACAGGGAATTCCCTTTAAGTGCAAACAAATATCAAGTTAAGTCAGGTTTAAATATGCAAGGCAAGTAAAAGCAGCCAGTTTACTGTGGCAGTGCTTGCATATAGTCCATTGTCTGTCCACCACCTTCTCTCCTTTTGCTTTTTTTGACATGGCGAAACCAAAATGTTTCCTGACATCTGACTTAAAAGCTGCAGGGGCTGGCACAATCTCAACTTCGGGGTTGTTGTTTTCATCCTTACAACTATCGCTGTCGGCCATGCTACCTTGCTTTGAGCTTGTGTGGACAGCGTGCAATCCGTGTGCAATCCTATTGGCTTAAGATCGGTTGGTAAGACGACGCAGCGCAAAGGATCATGGTCTATGTAATTAACAATGATTTGTTCCATGGGACTGTGTTTAATCCTCTTGCTTTTTGATGGACACCTGTCCTTTTATTATTGTAACCCAACCACGACGATATCGAGACACGCTTACCACCGCGATAGCGTGATAATGTCCATATCGTTACATCACTATTCCTTAAAGCTACAGTGTGTAATATTTACAGGGATATACAGTCAGAAATGTAATATATTATACATAACTATGTTATTTATCATCATCTACGAGCTCAGCCTCTTAACCTTAATATTTGCGTTGCCTTAGAATTCGTTATTTATAATTACATAGGAGTGGGTCTCGCAGCCATGGAGGCAGACATCTTTGCGCTACGGCAGCGCAGAGCCAACAAACTAGCGATTGCGAGATTGCCCATTACGCTCGAAAGTAACTACGGCAAGTTGAGAGAGATGAACTGAGACGGTACTGAACAATAGATGGCAGTATTATGCCTGAGAATACTATCTGTAAAATTATCTATGTAAACAAACCTCATCACTTGAGAAGGTAGGTGATGCGGACGTCGTGGAAGACATTTTGTCCCGTAACGCTTGCCGTACTGTTGGGGGGGAGAAGCGGTGGGGGGGAGATGTTCATGTTGCTGCGGTCTGTAGTCTGAACGTTAGATGTCGCTGAAAATTACACACTGTAGCTTTAATATGAGCACAATCTAATAGGACAAGACTAGGTTGCACCATAATAGAGGATTCTTGATGTGCAAGTCTACAATAACTTTTAGATCCTAACATGTCAACATGGACCAAAATCAAAGTTTGTCTGACATCATAAACCAATTCATTTTATTTATATACCATTTATAATCACAACACATCATCTTAAGGCACTTTACAGAGACAATTCAACCAGATTATACAGTCAGATTGGTTCAGTTTTCCAAAGAAAACCAGCTGATTGCCTCGACTCATGGACTCAATAATAATCCCCACAACTGCCATAAAGAAGTGAGGCAGTTCCAGAGATAAATGGCGGTCTAATAAACTAGTTAAGGATATAAAATATGTGATAGGTAGGTGTCAATTTAAGATCATTTTGTACTTCCCAAAATTTATCTTAGAGTCAGTAAATTATCCAAAGCAAATGCTTTTATTGTAATATTAGGCTCCAATAAAAATAAAATTCATCTTTCTGCCAGAAGCATTGCCGTTTTGTCTTCTTCCTATTTACATGTTTCGTTTTCCCTCTTCCATTACCTCACTGTCTTAAAGAGCAGTGTGCTTCACTGTTGCCCCCGTATATCCACACACACACGGTCTGTCTCCCTCTGCTGTTTCCAACTTTACCGACCTGGCATGACTTAAAAGCACATTCAAATTGTAAGACCAGGATAGTTTCCCCCCTGCTAACCCCCCACCAGAGGATTTGTGTGTGCATCAGATTGGCTGTAAAGGACCAGGAAGCCTCAGTTTCCAGCTGTAGTGCCAGGCAGTGTGCCTGGGTTCCACAAAACTTCCCCTCTGATTCACCCAGCCAGAAAAGCAGAGATCCACATCCACACAAGCACAGGCTTAGTGGGAGCTGAACAGAGAAAAGACAGAGCTTTGTTGTGTTGTGGGTGGATGTCTGTCGTTTCTGAGATGTACTCCTTCCAAAAATCATCTTATGATCCAGTGCAGGATCTTTGAGGGGGTTCTCCCATGATCTGAGTCTGGTTTGATAATTGTCATTAATAAACAACTTGATTAAAACAAAAATGTCTTAGCGATGCTGTTTAATTTTCCTTCTTTTCCATATTTTCTTATCTCTGTCTGTTGTCTCCCATCAGCTTCTACTTTCTCTCCCCAGATCTCTCTCATCCCAGGTCCCTGTGGCTTCTTTCTTCTCTCTTTAAACAGAGGCCTGAGATGTGAAGTGCAATAATGGTCATTTGGCCTCCTATTGAAAGGCGGGTAATTCGGCCCAGGAACGGCTCACTTTGAGCCACATGACACAAGGAGCTTCCCAGTGACCATGGAAACAAGCGCAGTGGGATCCCGGGTGCCTCCGACCGCTATGAAACTTGGTGAAGCAGGGATTTAAGAGGAGGAGGAGCCTGGTTGGGGATTGAAATAGGAAGGAAGGTGAGGGCTCCAACACAGGCCGGTCAGAGTGGAAACCTCTCCCGACACCCCACCAGGAAGAGCAGCCAAGATAATATCAGCAAGTTGAGCCGTACACAAACATGAAAGGAGAGCCTGGGAGGCAGGCCCCTGAGCGCTCCATGCTTCACAAGATTTCTTTTTTCTTCCTTTTTTTTTTAACCACCCTAACCTTTTTTTTTCTTCTATGTTCTCCCCGCCGCTCCTCCTCTCTTTCGCAGTTTCCCTTTCTATCCCTCCCTCCACACTGCTGTGTTTGTGCAGTTGCTTTCGAGCGTGGAGCAGGGAGAGAAATGGCTAAGCTGTTAGAGCGCACTTTACCCTGCAAGCCATAAAAGCAGCTGGGTAGTTGAGCTGAGTTTGGTCATGAAATTAATTTAATAACTTAATAATAACAAATGGTTCAGTCTTAGAAAACAGTACCCATAAGAACAAAAATGGAGGTCTACTTGCAGAGTTCCCTGTCAAGTGTTATAGAAAGCTATTTTTTTGTGCATATTTTCTTACTTAAATGACTTCTAGAACAATAAACCCTTAGAGAAAACCCAGGTATTATTAGCTATTTTTGTCAAAAATTGAACAGTGTCACAGAAATATTACATTTCTCACTAAACACATGGGAAATATAAAAATGGGAAACAGAGGTATGTTTGTCTTCATCAGTCAAAAGACACCTATTGATTATCTTGCCTCTCATCCACCAATCTCCAAATCTCCCCGAGATTGATTACAGAATCCTGGGAACAACTATTAAACATTGTTTTAGAGTGATGTCACAAAGAACCTTCATACCATCGCACATTGCGGCTCAATTATGATTTGTTTGGTGAAGAAAGGTCTGATGCCATTTCAGCAATTCCTTTAAGGAATCTGCTGGCCTGCAAACACCTTAACAGTTCAGCTTTTATATTTATTTTCAAAATCAAGGCGATGGGGAGAAAGTAAAGCTTTTATCAATTACCAATCAGAACCAGTTGCAAACTGATTGGTGCATCTAAGTTTGGGTAACTTTACGTGGAACAGCTTTTTATAATTTCCAGGAAGGGGATTCGACACAGAGTCAAAATCCCTTTTGTCAAAAAAATAAAAATAAAAAAAGAATTTCTCGTAATATGTCACAGAAACCATCAGATCAGCTTTTGAGGAATAAGCATGACTTTGGTATCAAAGACTGATCTCAGCTTCTCAGTTTCAAACAATACACCAAACTTAACTGTAAACCTCATAACAATACAAGTGTGCAGCAACTTCCCTTTCAAACTTTCTGACATATTTTCAAGACAGAATTTGATTGAGGTAACAAATCGACATAAGTGAAAGCAAAATCCTGACAGGCAACTCTTGTGTAGTTGAAGTGAAGCATAAATTACTTGGCAAGAAAGAGATGTTACCAATAATTAGCCTCAGTTCTAGTTAATGGAACAACTGTCGGAGTTAACCGCAGTGATTCACACAACAAAAGATATTGATTTTTCAGTTTTCAGCTCCCAGCTGAAATGATGTAAGCCCCTTCAATTTGGCACAAGCACAGGGAAAATTTGTCTCGTCAATATGCCGCGCCGTGAAAAGATTTCTTTCAAAAAGTCGGCGCATAATCAAAGTTCCTTTGTATCGAACAAAAGCGCCTCTTGTTAATCGATAACTACCGGGGCTTCAGAGTACTTTACAGACAGGCTCCAGAGTTTACAGAAAGATGAGCTTTATAGATTTGTCTCTATTCTTTTAGGCTCTATTTTCACCAAGTTTTTCTTCAGCGAGGGAGGAAAACGCCACAAAAAAGGGATCATGATGAGACAGAGACTGTGAGTCATATTGAGCCGTCTGCACCAAAACAAGTGGATCTGCCAGCCTTCTCCCCATCTTTTTCACACCAAACATCACTCTAGGAGCATATACACTGTTTCCCTTCAAAGTAACTCCTTTTCCTACGCATCAGACTGATTTCTATTTGTTATTGTAGCTGGGATTGAAAATGAGGTCAAATCCAGGGCTCTTCAGGCAAACTCCTTTACAACAAGCTGTATGACACCTTACTGGCATTGCCATGGCCTCGAGACGACCTCTAACACACACCTGAGTGCGTAGAACAGCCAACCTTGTCAAAGGGTCAAAAAGCAGTCGCCAGTAACATCACACTTATCTGTCTGTTGCCACTTTTCCTCCTTTTTTTTTTTTTAAAGATTTGTCTCTCCCTTTCCTGGCTGCTCTTGTGTACCTTCCACGCCCCGGTCTTCTCCCTCTCTCCTACTCCTTTGCAAATATACATACACACTCTGGCAGCTAAAGCCGACATGCCAGACACAGTTAAGAGTCCAAAAGCCACTTAGCACTAAGATGCAGCAGCTGTTTGCTCTGGCCTGCTGTCCTGCAGTGCCAGCTTGGTAGAAAAAGACATGCTGGTTGGCTTGCTCGCATTGTTCCATGGCAACTGTGGTTTTAGGATCATATTTGCGTCAGTGTCAAAGGCAGCGCTTCCCACACAGGATGCACTTTTTATGGTCCTGTGCCTCTGGCAAAAAAATAAATAACTTTAAAGCAGTAAGGTTTATTTCTGGGAAGATGTCAAATAAAGAGCTTAGAACTTTTGTACTTGCTCCATCTATTCTTAAATGCTATTTTAGCAGCAGGACCGAAGGCAGCTCTGACTGTTGTGGTTGGCTAAAGTTTAAGGTGGAAATGATTGTAACTGCGACAAAGTGGTTACAGTCAGGACAAGGCCACACAACAATCACATACCAGGGAATTTTATGCATGTTATGCCAGACCCAAGCTGCATAACTGTGGGAGTATGGGCAATATTTTTCTTTTACATTTCCAATACACAACCTCTTTATTCTCCTCTTCTTTATTATAAGAGGGCCCCACGGCAGGATGAAAGAGAGGGGCCCCGTTTGGCCTACCGGACTTACACCGCGGCCCTTGAAAGAAGAGCTATGGGACTGGCACTGTGTCAAAGACCCCCGACCAGTCTGAAAGCCAGTGGCATGACTTTATGTTCCAGACAAGCTGCCAAAGACTGCAGAGTATGTGTGCGAGGATAGTGTAGGACCGGGGAGGAAGGTCAGTTCTGAGAAAGTGAACCAGCAGGAAGGAAATGACTACTAAGAACACATTACCAAATGCAATAAATAGTCCAACTGGAGAACGGATACATGCGTGCAGAGGTGTGAGCATGATTTACACCATTTACAAACAGCTCAGAGAAGGCAAGGACTGGATAAGCTGCAGCTGAAGTGAGTTAACATGCAACTCCAGTGCTCCTTGTTACATAGTAGAGATCTGGCAAACAGTGCTTTACTAATGTACTCATTTGCCTGAAACCTTATCATTTTCTTTTCTTTACAATGAAAAACTTCAATATATTTTATTCTTTTTGTTGTGATAGACCAAAACAAAACCATAGGTGACTAATGCAAGAAGAAAAAAATGATGTTATATATTTATTTATATATTTCATTATAAAAAAACCAATGGAATAACAATTTCAGCCAACTTTTCCTCTCACATCTCTGGATATCGAGTTGCAAGAAAATTATTAGCAAAAAGGCTCAGAAGCTGCAGAGATTGTCAACTCAGGTAAAAACTGAGAACACAATAGTTAGTTAGCAAAAACATGTATACAGAGAGTAGCGGCAAGAAAAGAAAGGCAAAAGAAGTCTAGGTTATAGTTTGCCAGAAGAACCCAGCAAACATTTAGAAAAGTCATCTTGTCAGAAGATTCCAGAATTTAAGTGTATGACCTATATGCAAAAACCTTTGAGCAAGTGGTCCATGGAGTAGAGATGTAACCTCTGGGGCTTTTACATTTTGGACCGCATTCATCCTTCTGCATGGCAACACATTCATACAGAGATCTAGAAGTAACGGAGCTGCCATTTCCGCAGACATGCTGATATATGCTGCGGAGAGTTTGGTAACCCCCTGAAATGGGCAACAGCAATGATTTTAAACACTCAATGGCGCTGTCTGTTCTACAAGCAAGGACAGGAATGTTAGTCGAAGTTGAAAGGATGATGGATGGAGCCAGATACAAGACAATCCTACAAGCAAAACAGTTAGAGATTTTGAAGGACAATAGAAAAGCAGTGGTGGCGTTAAGTGTGCTCATGTATTGAGGCCTTAGTCCTCGACGCAGCTGTCACAGATTTAAGTCTGGGCCTGTTGACCTTTGCTGCATGTTTCCTCTATCACTTAATCCTACTGCATGCATTAAAAAAATTAACAGAAAATAATAGCCACTAGAACCTAAAAACTGCATGTAAAAAAAACAAACAAAAAATGCTCATCTTTTAGCGGCACCACATTTCTAAAAATCCAGCTAGATAATAGCACGTTCATGTGCTGGAATGGCCTAGTCAAAGTCCAGACCTGCAATATCACTTTACATCAGCAGTGCAGGCGTTCTGCAAAATGTCATATACACTAAATGCTGCAACCAAGTTAGCCCAGCTGCAGAAAATGTGCTCCAATCAAAAAAAAAAAAAGTTCACATGGGCTCAGACTCTTTCTAGGAGTTGTAGGCAAAACTTCCCATCTGTGTATATCCCTTTAAATCCTCCAATAGCTCCTCTATTTCATTATCTTTCTATTTGCCTTTTTTTATTTCCCCAAGTAAGGTTACGGTAGGCTGGTGGGTTCATTTTATTCGGAAATTTCCCAAGGCTTTTTTCGGTTTTTACCTGACTTTTTCTGTTTGGTTTTTGGGTACTGAAATTTGGAAGCTTAATGCCAAAACCACTGCAGTATCTAGCCAAGCTTTCTTCTTGCTGAATCACTTTGTTGACCCACATGGCCTCAGTAAGTGCATCAGCACTGTTTCCCTGCTGAGCCCATACCACAGGTGCACCACGGCCGTACCACGTTCAGCATGAGCCAAGCATTAAGAATCTGTAGCAAAGCTTGTAGACACAATACATCCAGTCTGGGAATGTGGTAGACAAATGCCCCCAATTAGAAGATTGGGCTAGTAAATTAAGGAGAAATACAAAAACATTCTAGATTTATTAAGAGAAAAAGCTGCAAATCATGCATCACTTTTTTTCAAATTGTGCATCAACCTGTAATGGTCCATCACATAAAATTCAGATGGAATGACAAAATGTAGGATGGTGCAGGGTTTTATATGCTCTCTAATGCACATGTTCTTTTTCCTAAGCAATGCAGACAAAGAACACCTGAAAAAAGCATTGCTAAAGTTGGAACTTATTTCTTGTAGCCATTTTTCTGCTCTGAAGGGAGGTACTGCTGCTGAGGTTTAACAGTCCTGCAGCTTTCAAAAGAAACACACAGGAAGAACAGGAAAAAAACTGTGTACATATATATGACACAGCAGCAACTGAGTTTGGTTTTCAGTCAGACTTCAGAGGATGGTTTGACCGACCCCGTTTCCATGTCTTCCTCTACTGTAAATATTCTAGATGCTGGAGTGTCTCACTCTCACAGCCAAAAATTCTGGATTCACTCAACTAAATACTTCAAAAGAAGATAGAAAAGCATAATAAGAAAGAAATTTTCATATGAATATACCTTAATCTCACCAAAATCTGCGTAAAAGTGCATAAAGTTTACCTATCATACAACAAAGCTTCAGCCTAAATGGGGTTCTCTAAATGCTAAATTCTCTTCAAAGAAGCCTCAGTTGGGTTTCCCCACATTATTTATTTTCAAATATTATTTACCGAAAATAAAAACGATTTAGCCCCATTTCCCTGTAACTCAGCGTTATTTGTTTTGAGCAGAGGAAAAAATACCAACACCACTGGTGGCAAAGTGGTAGCAAAGTGGTGTGGGCTTGTGGGTTCAGTCAGGGGCCAGTTGGGCAGGGCGGGAGGGCGGGGGTTGCTGATCACAGGGCCAGACCAAACAGGGTGAGTGTGATGAAGGGCACAGTCTCCAGAATAGGCCTGGGCATTTTGGCCTGGTTGGCCAGGCAGAGTAAGCAAACCGGTGGGGGGTAAACACTGCCCTGTCTGGCCTGGCAATCGTGTCGGTGCCAATCGCAAAGCACCCAGCTGTGTTTGGACCCGGGGACGAGTGGTTGTCAAGATGCAACAATGGACTTTCCCTTCTCTAATTATAGTTCTGGCTGAACAAACAAAGAAAAAACTGAGTGGTGTAGAACTTGGGGATGCTGGGTAAAAGCCAAAAGGTCACAGGGCAAGATTCCTGCCATCCTATCCAGAACATCTCTTAGTAGAACTTCAAAAGAGAAGATCTAAAAATGGCGTGCTCATTAGCATTCTACTTTGATTAAGTCCACTGAGTAGAAGGTGTGGGTTTCTCATCCTTGGAGTGACCTTGTGATTGTTTGCAGCACACCAACTACTCCATTACAACTGAGCTGTCATACTTTTCGGGCTTTTATTCCAGTTATTATGGATTTTTCTTTGCTTTTTTGTTAGATTTTCTGAGTTTTATCTTCATAGAAGTTCCTCCAATGAATTCAAAAAGTATAGAATGAATTCAATTCAATGAATTTAATCAATTTGGCATCTCAGACAATAGCATCAATATCCTACAACTTTTACATGCAATTTTGCTTCAACGGAACTAAATAGCATAACTAGCTAATTTGCAGGACTCTAAAGACTGGCTTTTTTTTTTTTGTAACATCCATGCATCAGGTCTTTCCTAAGTTGAGAGCATATCATTCCTGATGGGACATCTGGGGATTTTAAGGTATATACACAGGAATTACTGCAGGTTGCTAGTTGGAGCCATTGTATTTGATTCCCCTATTAAATAAGTCAATTGGTCTTAATGGGGAACAGAACATTCCTATGACAACAGTTTAAAATCAAATCATATTAGGAGCAATTTATGATCATTTATGAGAAAAAGGACTAATGCAGCCTTGTGCATGAATATACAAAATTGTTTGTATAGTAAGTATGAAATATCTAAGGCAGAGTAGGGATACATTCCACATCATGCTGCTGAACTTAAAGTTTATTCAACTATTTCCTTTTTTTTGATAGCTACTTAAACATAACCGGCACCTAAAAATGGCGATCTACCAACGAGTGAATATCTCTGTTACAGCCACGAGATTTCTGCTTCGTTTCTGGACCTCAGCATAATCTTGGGAGCAGGAAAGTGCATTAGCTTGTCTAGACAGCATAAGGGCTTCTTAAATCATGAATGGCTGCTCCCTTTCTGTCAGTGGGAAAGCACAGGATAAATGAGGCTACAGACATTCCCACCTCATTGTCGTCCCCAGGGGAAATGTTGGTACATTCCATTAAGGAAAACATTTAATTAGAGCATGATAAAATATTGCTCAGAGACTCCAGTGGGGTCTGAGGACAGTAAGGAGGAAGAGGAGGAGGGAATGGGTGTGGTGATATATTTAATTTGTATTCTCATAGCAACGGAAAGCAACACACAAAATAAAGACGAGGATTAACTATAGAAGATCAAAGATAAGTTAATTAGAGGTTTGAGTTTGTTCAAACAAAAAAGGGCAAACTAATAAACACTCTATGGTTTCAGTTCAAGTCTATACCCTCGGGAATTAAAATGTTTACAAACTAATATAGTATTTATAGTGGTTTACAACAGTTTTCATACCCTCTAAAATTGTTTACATTTTGTCCCAATAAAAATACAAATAAGAGGTAGAAATACTATAATTAAAAAAGGGCTCTCATGTAATGGGAAAGCATTTACTAATAAAAATGTGTAATATATGGCATGCATTTATAACTATCAACCCAATGTAAGCACTGTACCATTTTTGAAGTAGAGACGGAAGTCGCTCTTCATTAATTAGACCAAGGTCCATTAATATACTTTGGCCCATCCTGTTGTAGCTGTGGCTATGTTTAGGGTTGTTGTTCTTTACCTTTCCCAGGACTGTGAGGCAGCTGGGGTCCAGCTCCGGTTGCTCCAGCTTCACAACTCCGACCCAGCCGTACTCGTAAAGGTCCTCTTCGTCATTGTTATTGCATAGTCCCAAAGGATGCATCTGAAATGGACGACAGAAGATACGGGTAAGAAGTGTTGCTCTAAATCTCAAAAAGCAGCTTTTTCTTTGTACCCTTTGGTGGAAAAATTGAGCCATTTCTAATATTACTTTTCTTATTTGTTTTTTTTTCCCCAAAAATTTTAGGACTTAGCTAAAGCAGGTTCCCTGAGAAACTTCATGTCTTGTAAGAATATACTAGTTTGGTAATTCATAATCCACCATTTCCTGAATAAAAGAAAAAGAAGTCAATAGCGTCACATCTCGGAAACTAATCACTGGTTTTAAGGCAAATGGGCAAAGCAGGGATTTATGCACCTTTGCAGAACTGCTGGGAAGCTGATTTTTGCTGAAACTCTAAATCTTGGCTCATAACACTGCTAAAAATGTATGTTGCTGTCATTTTTATTGTACTTGTGTAAACACGCAAACACAGAGGACATTAATCTGTATGTCATAAAGATGAAAAAAAAAAAGCATAATTGTGTACATCAAACTTTCCTCCAATGCAGTAATGTTACATTTAAGGCTGCTAAATTGGCCCACTTCTCAGCCCCAAATCTCTTTAGAGGTATCACCAACACAGCGTCTAAGCAGCGGATTAAAGGTAAGAGGGTGGCAGACATCACAAACACCAACTACTTCAGCAGCGCCAGGAACAGGAATGTAGGTGGCCTCTGTAATTTCAAATCAACCGAAGCATTCACTGCAATGCTCTTTATAACTTTGTGAGTTTTTTAACCATGCAAACATGTCTAATAAGGGCTAAAAAAAAAAAAAAAAAAAAAAAAAAGAGTATTGATTTTAAATGCAAAAGGTAAACACTTGACATGTCACTTCCAGTTAATACAGATTTCCCTTGGAGACACAATTAAAGTAATATCAAGCAGAGCTACTGTATATTGTGGACAGACAGTGTCTATAAATGGCAATTGTCAAGTCTTACCACCAAATCTCCCTTGTATTTAGAATGGAACTTAACTTTGCCCTATAACAAAATATTTAATCTAATTAAAGCTTTTGCTGTATGTATGGATCCATTGTCCTGCATGAAGGCAAACCTGCATGACACATCTCCAACGTCTAGCAGCCTTTAAGAGGTTTTCTCTCAGGGTTGCTCTGTATTTAGCGGCATCTAATTTTCCATTAGGTCTGACCGGCTTTGCTGATCATGCATTTCCTGCTAAAGATATGCTGTTGTTTTCATCAAGGAGAGCTTATGGCTTTATAGTTGAATATTTCCAAAACAATAATAAAAAAAGAGATCTTCATTTTCAATTTTCACAATGAGAGGCAGATTAACAAACTAAGGTAATCTAGTTTGTAATCCAGTTTTTGTGAATGTGGAAGAATTCCCTCCCAAGAGGAATTTATGAGGGAATTAAAAAAGTTATGTAGTGCTGAAAATTACCTCATTCAAAGGGCTCTCACAAAAAAGGTAATTACTACAACTTTTATCCGCTTAGAGTTCTTGGAGCAAGAGTCATATAAAACAGCGGAAATTAGACAATGGCATCTATAATTTTGAGGGAGAGAGAGAGAAAGAGAAACACAAGATTATAGGCCCCAATATTTCAATTTTTTATTTTTTTTGCAGTATCTCGGTTAACAAAAAAAAAAAAAAAAATCCCAAGAAAGTAACAAGAAATTCAGAAACAACAAACAGAGGTCAACTGTGCCTGAGAGCCTTTTCACAACAGTGAAATAATGATGAGTTTAAACATCCCTGGATTAAAACTGTAACTAAGCAGTATTCCTAAATCCTGGAATCCTTTACCCAACGTGGCAACAGTGCAAAGACAGGCACTAGTATTAGCATTAGAACTGGGCCAAGCTGACCCGTAGGCCACTTATCCTATTAACCAAAAGACCACAGCTCTCCAATCAGGGAGCTCCCATCTACTCCAGTCCCTGGGCCGTGGCCGATGACCCAAGATACCCTTCTCCTGCATGTGACCCCTGACCTTTAAACCCCACTTTATCGCGTTTGGAGCAGGTTAGCTGTGCAGTAGGCCAGTTGGAAAGAAAGAGCTTTAAAACATGGCTGAGGGGGTCACACCCCTGACCTGAAGTGTTTTTTGGAACGGCTTAGCCAAATATAAAAGGGGTTGAATGCAAATCAGATGGTCATTGGAGGGCGTGTCATGAGCTCAAGCAGGTAGCACCATTTCTTTCATGATGAAATTTAATAAAGAGCTTTTGACTGAATGCTTTTAAAACTGGAAGTTATTGCAGAACACTATTGAGAAACACTAGTCTGATATGTATATATTTTTATTTTTCAAATTGCACAGAAAAAAAGTAATCCTTAAATCCTCCTCCTCCTCAGACCTCCCACACACAAAGATAGGACTATGATGAAACATGAAAGAATAGGCTCAGATGTTCAGTTACAAACCTTTGAGACAAACGGATCTGTCTCTCAGTAGCACAAAAGAAAACATAAAAGCTTTTTCAAAAACCTTGCAAAAGACACCTTTTTCTCAGATCCACATGATGCAGCATTACATGGATCTCAGATGATTTTCTGAAAGCTGCATTGTGTTTTGAAAATAAAAAAAGATATGTTGGGAAGAAACTAACAGGTTTAAAGAATGATCCAAAAATAAGTGAAGATTTCTGAAAATGTGTGTGTTTGCCCTTAATTTGTGCAGGTAAATGAGATGATGTGCCAATGGAAAGAGAATCTTTGCCCATAAAATAAGACCAAGAGACATTATGCACTTAAAATAATAGAATGGAGTTATTTTTTTCAAGGAAAATACACTTAAAAAAATTGAATTTTTGCATAGAATACATTTGCCTTGGTCCAAGACTATATTTTTGCATATATTGACTTGCTTTTTTTTGGAAAAACTTTTGGACAAGTGCAAAGTTGGTTGAATTACATTATAGAGGCATGGATGGATGGATAAAAAGGAGGATGGTTAGATAAGTAGAGGGATGATAGTTGGATAAATGCAACTTCCAGAATGCCTAGGGATCTTTAACTGGTCTGCTGCAAAGATAAAACAATACATTTGCTTAAAGTGAAGGACAAAGTCAATTTAGGTGTTTCCTTTGCTTCTGTTTGCTAGTGTCTCCATTTAAATAGGGACTAAGAAGTGAAGCGCTGTACAATAGTGACCTCTCTCTCCTGCTTGGCTAACAACTTGGATTGAAGCGGGGAGCCCCGCCTGCACCCCTGGGCCCTGAACACTGGGCCATTGTGCAGGGGGCTCTTGCACTCCAAATGGGACAGTGTTGTTGTTGTGGACCATGTTGTTATTTTAGAGGCTGGCCATTGCGCCATTATCTCCGACCAAGCGGGGATTTTTTCCCCCCCCTCAGATGTTGACGTAGGCGTTGATGGATGAGGGGATGGGAAGGAGATTGGTTTGGAGACGCTGGTGATCGGTTGAAATGGGTCACAGCAACAAACCAGAGAGCAGGGCATTTGTGAATATGTTCTCGCAGAAAAAAAATCTAAGGTCCAAATGTAGTCCAACCTTTCCTTTCAGAAAAATCTACTTTCTTTATATTCCAGTACCCAGGCTCTAAGGTTGAGGGTATCTGGCGCCCCCTTAGTGCCACGAGAAGGTGGCTCTTGTTCTGCCCCCGTCTGTTCAGCCTCTGGGGGAAGCTGCCTTTCACATGAGTATCTAGTTACACAGACCACACTCTCAATGAATCTCTGGCAGGGATTTAACCTCCAGCTGTCAGTTAAGTTCGTCACTCCCCTCTAACCATCCACCTGTGGTAAAAGTCCTTGTGATGATTCTCTGCAATAGTAGATAACACTGTTGTGCAATAGTCTTAAATCACTCCTGGTTCCTTTATGCTTTCCTTCAAAGAACCCAGACTTTTTTTTCTTTGCAATCTTTTAAACTATTCTATATCAAAATGTCTCCATGTTATCTCCGACTACTCTGGCTTTTTGGAAAAAATATTTGCCTTCTCCAATGTGTCCATTCCAATCCAATCTCTCACAACAATCTTTGAAGTTAATTCTAATAACCTCCATTCGTTTTTGCAGCTTCTTTTAACATTTTTACAACTGAATGAAATTCACCAAACAAAAGAAACTTTTTTTTTTGTGACACAGCAGATGCCTCAAAAAGATTACGCATCCTTTTTGCCCCCAGGAGCAGTAGCAGCAGCAGCAAAGGAAAGGCTTTAGAGAACATGAACATGCAACTCTGCTGAATTGCATGCCTATTTAAGGCCACACACTTGCAAAAACATGGTGAATGATGTTTGTTTTGGCAGCTCATCCTCGTTTCAGCACAGCAAGACCTTAGACTGGAACATCAAAGGAAAGCGTGGAGCTGAAATAACCAAATCTATACAAGATCTTCCTGATGCATTAGATAGATAACTCTTAAAATGTCTGTACTAACGACAACTTTGTAGTTTTCTGCAGCCAATTTAGCATGAATAGTTTTTTTAAGTTTCTCTAAATAATTAATGTTTGATTTCTCTTGCTAATTTGCATAATTTCTATATTTTTGGGAGAGTTGCTGGGACCTATTTCACATGCACACAACATCTAGAAAAAGAAAAACCTGGGCTAGGCGCCAGACATTGCACCCACCTGCTTCCCCGGTGCCATGCATGTGTTTACACATCTCTCTGTTTGAACACAGGCATGTGTAAGAGGTTAGCGTGTTCAGCCTGAAAGGCATTATGGCTGACCGAGGGGTAACCTGGTGGCATCTCTCCCTGACCGTCATCCTGGCCTGAACTCGGTTACCTCCGGCCCCTTCCAGTCCTTCTCTGGTACCCCACCCAAGCACCCTGCTACAAATACCTCTGAGCCACGGTTAGGGGAGTTTTGTAAACTTCTTGGAATAACACCAACTTTGTTGAGCTGTGGTGTTTAAAGCTGTAGGGATAGGGTGGAGAGTTAAACATGGCTCTGTATGGTTTCTCTGTACACGCATTACTAGAACCTCGAATCCTAACAGATTCTACACCAAAAATCATAATGAGGGAAAAAGAATTGATTCGGCCTTCAGAGACTT